GAAGAGATGGTTAAGAAGCTCCAGCTCAAGACTATTCCTCATCCAAGGCCGTATAAGCTTCAGTGGTTGAATGACAGTGGAGCCTTGACCGTATCTCAGCAAGTGATGGTTTCTCTATCCATTGGGAAGTATGAAGATGAGATTCTATGTGACGTCATTCCCATGGGTTCGAGTCATGTGTTGCTAGGCAGACCGTGGCAATCAGATCGTAGGGTGATACACGACGGTTACACCAACAAGCACTCATTCGAGTTCAAAGGTCGCAAAATTACCCTCCTACCTCTCACGCCTACCGAGATTTATCAAGATCAAGTTCAAATGAAGCTCAAGGAGAAGGAGAAAGTCGCCAACAGCCTCTACATAAACCACAGTGAATTTTCTAAACTCTTTGATCCTGAAATGACTACTTTTATGTTTGTGTACAAGGAATCCCTTGTTAGTACTAACCCTTCACAGGAGCTTCCTAGTGCTATGTTTGAGATTTTGCAGGAATACAAGGACGTTTTTACAGTAGAAATTCCACCAGGGCTACCTCCAATTCGCGGGATAGAGCATCAGATTGACTTGGTACCAGGATCAGCCTTACCTAACAGGCCAGCATACCGAACCAACCCTGTAGAGACTAAGGAGCTGCAAAAGCAAGTGGAGGAGCTGATGAGCAAAGGCCATATCCGAGAAAGCTTGAGTCCATGTGCGGTTCCAGTTCTGTTGGTGCCAAAGAAGGATGGTTCCTGGAGGATGTGTGTAGACTGCCGAGCTATCAACAACATCACTGTGAAGTATCGGCATCCGATCCCAAGGCTAGATGATATGCTGGATGAGCTCTGTGGGTCGACAATCTTCTCTAAGATCGACTTGAAGAGTGGATATCATCAGATCAGAATGAAGGAAGGGGATGAGTGGAAAACGGCATTCAAGACAAAGCAGGGACTCTACGAGTGGCTAGTTATGCCGTTTGGCCTCACCAATGCTCCCAGCACCTTCATGAGACTAATGAACCATGCCCTGAGACCATTCATTGGCGTGTTCGTAGTGGTTTATTTCGACGATATCCTCATCTACAGTAAAAGTTTGGAAGAACATCTAGATCACATCAGATCGGTTCTTGATGTTCTTCGCTCTCAATCTCTCTTTGCTAATTTATCTAAATGTTCATTCTGCACTAACGAGATTGTTTTCTTAGGCTTTGTAGTAAGTGCAGGAGGAGTTAAAGTAGATGAAGAGAAGATAAAAGCTATCAAGGAGTGGCCAACCCCCAAGAATATTGGAGAAGTCCGAAGTTTCCATGGCTTAGCAGGATTCTACAGGCGTTTTGTTCGTGATTTCAGCACCATAGCCGCGCCTTGGAAAATGCAGCTTGAATGGCAAGGAGAAAGCTGAACAGGTCCGCAGAATACATGCTAAGGCTAAGGAGAACATCGAGAAGAAGACAAAGCAGTATGAGAAACATGCCAACAAAGGGCGAAAGGAACTGATTTTCGAAGAAGGAGATCTGGTGTGGATCCATCTGAGGAAGGAGCGATTTCCAGCTGAGCGAAAGAACAAGCTAATGCCCAGAGTTGATGGACCATTCGCAGTCATCAAAAGAATCAACAACAACGCCTATCAGATTGATCTTCAAGGTAAGTATGATGTTTCTGATACTTTCAATGTTTCTGACTTGCTTCCTTTTGTTGCAGATTCAGATTTGAGGGCAAATCCTTTTCAAGAGGGAGAGGATGATATGATCGTGACCAGCTCAGAGGAGGAGGAACCAAAGGTAGCTGGCAGGATCACTCGTTCCAGAGCTAGAGAGATGGCTAAGGAGGCTCACGCACTCATTGCCACGGAGGACAGCGATCACCAGGAGGCTGGAGCTCACATCTTCAACATCTCTATCTTGAAGAATGAAGAACCCAGTAACAATGACTAGGTAACTTAGGTGATGATTCTGTACTCTTTTCCTTGGTGAGGATTTTGGAAGGCAAGGAGGTTCTTTTCCAAGGTTTTTAACGAGGCAGAAATCATTGTTACGTCGAGTTACTTAGAAGTTGTTACTAATGGGTAATAACGTGCAAAGTCACAATGACTTGTGCACTAGTTGTTTTAGGCGCACCACTTAGGTTTAGAAGGGACGCCTCGCTGTTTTAATTTTAAATTAAACTTCTTGTTGTTTTATTTCAAACTCCATGTTGTTTTGTTATTAGGGCTGCGATTTTCTCTCTTAGTCTATAAAAAAGAGAAAATCGCCTAAGTCATAGGGAGTGAAGAATTTTGATCAAACTTTTAACGTGTTCTTCTCTCTTTTCGATTTCTGAGAACTAAAAAAACTCTGAAATTCGAATCTCTTAAAACTAATCTGTTTACAAGAGATTCTGCTATCACCATCACATCCCTCTCACGATCCATCGACGAATCCATCCACCACCATCTCAAACCATCGATCCGCCGCATCACACCACCATCTCCCTCCATCGATCTCTCATCGCGCCACCATCGCTTCATCACGCCAATATCATCGCATCTGTCCCTCCAAGTCACGATCTCAATTCGCCTGTTGCCTTATCTTCAGAGTTGATCTCCTCGGATCGTATCAATGCACATATTCAATACCTCATGCAGTGCAACAAGCCGTTTCTTCAGAAGTTCCCTGATCTCAGTCTGCCCATTCCTCCTTCAACTCATGCCGACGATGACGAGACGCAAGAAGAGGAGACGCAGGCGTAGGAGAGACCCCGTAATGGGGTGTTAGTTTATTTTGGGGGTTGGTTGTTTTGCTTGTGAACCAAGTTTCAAGTTATGTATTTGTAATGCTTATTTTGGTGTTTTGTAAAACAACTTAGATACTTAATCTAATTATGGTATCTTCTATTTTATATCATGCATCTTGTATTTCCTATATAATTTTCAAATTAAAATGCATTTTGAAAATTTATTACATTGGTAGGAAATATCATGTCGTCGGAAATCTTTAAAATCGTAGAATAAATTGGTTGGAAAATGGAAGGAAAAAATTCGTAGGTTTTTCGTCGGAAAGTTTGTGGTCGGAAAATGGAAGGCGAAAATCGTAGGAAATTTGTAGATACATTTTCGTCAGGATTAGGAAGGAAATAATGCGAAGGTTTACGCTGGTAAATTGGTCGGTGTTTGTTTACGGTTTTCCTACCAAAAGATCCGACGAATTTTTCCTACCACTTTTTTCGTAAGAAATTTCCGACGAAATTCCTTCCTTTTCTTATTTTCGACGGCCAATAACTTACGACAAATTTTGGTCAGAATTCCGTAATAAACAGCCATGTTTTCTTGTAGTGTTATAATCACAAGTCTAAAAAAAAAAAATTAGAAGAACATATTCTCTCTATTAGGAGATACCTAGATTGCAAGAAAAACTCCATCTGATATCTGTTTTCCATTTGGATATCTGTTTTCCATTTCAAAAACGTTTGAGTTCTTAGAAATACAACAAACACAGCATAAATAAGAATTCCAAAAAACTTCAAACTGAAAATTCAATGGAAATGTCGACTTCAATTTTGGAAACCCAAATAATCTTGCATTTTCTATTACAATCCCACTTCGAAAGTTTAAAGGGACTAACACTAGTATATAAGGGACTTGAGACTCTCCACTTATTGTCAATTAGTTTTAAGTTAAAAGCTCAGAAAACTTAACATGGTATCAGAAACTCGTTTATTGACCTAAAAATATGAACTAATAAGGATTTATTATCGATCATAAAGTGAGATTCGATTCGAGATGGGCTGATAAGAGTCATCATTTCGAGGGGGCATGTTAGAATCCCACATCATAAATTTAAAAAGACTTATAACACTAGTATATAATGGATTTAAACCTCTTCAATTATCACCAGTTAGTTTTAAGTTGGAAGCCTAGGAAACTTAACATTTTATAATTAGAAACATAATAAGTAAGTAGTTAGAAAAATTGGAGACATATTTAGTATTTTCGTAACTTAAAAGATAAATTAATCAGTATAAGTGATATAAAACACTTATAATTTTATCCGTGTCACTAATAATAAACACTGTGAGCATTTTTATCTTTATTTTTTGTTAAACTATTTTAATATTTATGTATTACATTTGTAATGTTTCAAACATTTTTTTTCTTACTATGATTTGGATGTTTGGTATTTCATTAGTAAAATTTTATTCTTATCATATATATGTGTTTCTAAACATATTAGTTTCCTATAGTTTTTTTTTTTTAAATGGTTTCTATGATTCTAAACATTTCGCTTTCATATACCCCAATTTTCAATCCCATGCAACCTAAAAAGATACATATTCATCAAAGTGCCTTATTGGAATGTAGGTTAGAGATGTTTGATATATTTATAGAATATGGCCAACCATTTTTAATATAGGAAACCTAAGTTTGAATTAAGAAAGAAATAGTATCATTATAACATTAGTTCATATTTTCTCTGAAAAGTAATACAAAACTCTATAAAGTAAGACAAAGATATTTTATTAATTTAGTTAGTTAATTTATAAAAAGACTAATTTGGTCAAAAACTTGATTCAGGACAATTTTTTTTTACATTAATTTTTTAAATTTCTACTATATAAAGTTCAAGTTTGCCTCCATTGATCTGCAGAATTGTATTATCTTGAAATTGAAACTTGGACGTTTTGGTGTAAAAGTCTTAATAAATCGTTTGGTAACCACTTCATCAAAGGGATACAGGTTTTGGTCGCATTTATTTGTGGATTTATGGATTAGAATAAGCTGTCGCTCCGGCTGTGCCACTTAATTTCCAGAAGTAGACAGAAAGAAAGGCTGAGTCACATAGTCCCATTGTTGTTACTATTCCCTACCGCCGAATTTTCACTCAATAATACCACAACACAACCAATTTAATGGCTTAGTGTTTATAATTCTATTTCTCTTTTAAAAAAGCATTACTTGAAAAAAACAAACAGTGCCTAGAAATATCTCTATTTGACATATCATATACAAGTAAGTAAGAGACAGTCTCTTGCGCTTCTTACCTAAAAATAAAACAGTGCCTAGAAATAGGTAAAAGACAGTCTCTTATGCAAAAGTGGAAAAATCACAGGAGAGTTCGCCCTAACTCTTTTCTCCCAGGCACATTTACCCAGGCAGCCGCTCAACTCAGTTTCTCCGATCTAACCTTGTCTTCTCCGTCTAATCCTCCGGTCGTTTTCTCCTCTCTTCAGCTGGGTTTTGGGTCGAGCCTTGCTCCGGCTTTGGCCGTGAGACAAGCGCCGGCAAAGTATTATCCCCTCCGCTGTATTTCTATTTTATTTATGTATTTTGGAATTCTGCTCGCTCTCGTCGTCACGTCACCGCCGGCTCAGCCTCACCTCCGCTGCACCGGCGTCCTTACCGCCACACCCTCTCTTCCACACTCCATCTCTCCCCTCACCTCCACTGTCGGCTCTCCACCTTGCCTTCTCGCTACTCTGCCGTCTCGCCGTATCTCTGCCTTGAAATCTCTCTCGCCATCACGAAGGTTGTGTCTGCATAAGATCGGATTTGAAGGGATCTGCATTGGTCCTAGATCTGTTAAATCTCTGATTATCCTCTTTGTTCAGCTGCTGCTAATCGGTTCACTCCGTCTAGCTTCGCCGCCTGCTGCGTCAAAGCCCATTCTGCTATACTTGTCATCTTCCTCGCTACGTCTCCTTCTGATCAATCTTGGACAGTTTCGAGGACAAATTGCTTACGAGCTATCAAAGGTTTCGATGGCAAAGAAGGTGGCCGATCCTGCTTTCATGTCTGCATCCTCGAGAACACTACTCTACTTTACCGTGGGGTCTATGGTCTTCCAGGTTCGCCTTTGTTCACTCTCTGCTTCTTCTTGCTTTGGAAGAAATCAGTTGCTTGTTGAGAGGATGTTTTTGGATTTGTAGAATCTCGGTATAGTTAGTTATGATTCGATGGCTATATTTTCCAATATTTCCATGTTTGTGGCCTATAATGGCATCTATGTCGTCTTGCTTGAACGACAGATGGGAATTCTGTGTAAACCCAAAGCAATTTTGCTTGTGGTGTCCGTATCTATCCATGAATTTCTCACAAAGTTTATTTGCCAAATTGAGGATTACTTGAGTAAATCCAATGTATTTCCGCATGTGGTGTCTTTATCCCAAAGCTTTGAACTCGTTATTTCCCTTTTAGTGGCAGAAGGAATGTCAATCCGTGCAGATCTTCCTCAAGCTATCTCTGAAGAATTAAGGACAAGCTCGGTAAAATCCGACTCCTTACAATTGGTTGAGCCATCGACTAAGGCTCTTGTGTCTTTGAACTTCTTGGTATTCTCTAGGATTTCACTCCTCACCGGAAGATTTGGTTTCACTTCTATCATGTTTATCATAAGTTTATCTAATATATTTGCTGCTTCCTTCGGGAAAGAGAACTCTCTGTATGCGGTTCACGCAATTTCTGTTTGATTAATTGAAGTAAGTGGTTGCACAAAAAAAAAAAAAACAGTCTCTTACGCATCTTATTTAAGGAGCGATCCATAAAAAAACTAGGCTTTTTTATTTTCTTTTTAATGTTTATTTCCTGTGATTATGAGCCAAATATTTGCTAAGAAACAGTGATGGAGATGTTCTTAGAACTATGAGTAAAATATGGTAATATTTATGATTAAGATATGAGTGTGTTACCATTGGGTCTACTTTTTGAAAATATAATGTCCAAAACAAGTACTTTTAAGTTTTAATTATCAAAAGACATACTTTTTATTATTTGGTTGAGACAAATTCTGTTTTATCCTTTTACCTCTTTTTCTCACATACCCCTTATAATTGTTTGTTGTTATTTATCTATTATTTAAAAAATAATCGAATAATTATTTTGACATTATAAATTATATATATTTTTTAATACTTTGATACCCATTTTATACTTTGGCACAATCTCTATATTATTATTTGAGTAGACATTTACATAAATGAACCTTTATTTGTAAGATATTACAGAATATTTTACATAAATAAGATATTATTTTTAAGATATTACATAAATAAATCTTTACTTAGAAGATATTACATAAACAAACTTTACAAATATAGAAAGTTCAATTAAATATTTCTATTTAAAAGATAGTTAAATATAAAGCTCACAGAGTTGTTTTGAATATATATGGATATAAGTCAAAAGTGTATTTAATTTCTTTATTTATTAAAATATTAAAGTATATTTTATTATTTTAAATAATAATCAATCCATATATATATAATCTATTTAAATTTCTGCAATATTTATATTTTTATTTCTATAATTAATTAGTATCATTTTCAAAAATTAATTCAACTATTTTTATCAAAAACTGAAATATGTTTTCAAATTTTAAATTATATTTTTTAACCGGTAAGCCAAAAAAATATTTTAATAAATTACATAATAGATTAAGTAAACGGGTTTGTCCACTTTAACAATCATATATATAATCATCATTAACACATATTATATAATTCATTAACGAAAAATGATAGTTTGATCTCTAATAAAATTTTCACAATTAAATACTTATTTTATGGATATATATTTAGATTCTAATCCATGTTGATATGTATATAAGTATATGTATATGTATATAAGTATATATATATTAATATCATATCACTTTCATATTTTAAAAGTTACTAATAATTAAACCGCATAACAAAACTAGCTCAAAATCTTATTCGATGATATATACAAGTAAATATTAGTTGTGTGATATTTATATATGTAATTGCCCTTAAATTTTTATTTATATTTTTTTGTTAAAGAATTTTTGTCACTAATTTTAATTTAACCAAAAAATGAAAAATAAATTTAAAGACAATTTAAAATATATTACCGTGCACAATGTGTGCGGGTTAATTCCTAGTAAAGTACAATTTATGAGCATTATTCGAAAATGAAAAACTTCCTTTGCTACCTTATCAGTCACACTATTTCTTTTTTCTTTTTTAATTCAAAACCAAAAACTAGTCTCTTCAAAATGAGTACAGAGCTGTTTCAAATCCATAAGCACATGAGAGACAAACGGCCATACCTCCTCTTCATTGATGCTTGTGGTAAGCTTTTTAGAGTCAGATTCAAATATGACTTTCTAATTATGTTCAAGTCATAAAACCTCTTATGTGCAGATGGATATCTTATGTGTATCTTGATAAATTCATACTTTTATCAGTGAGAAAATTTTCATAGTTTAATCAATGAGAAAATCTCTTATATTCTGAAGGGTTTCTATAACTTGTACATTCTTTGTATTATCTATCACGGAGAAAACCCTAAACTTTCTATGGCTTTTCTAGGATTCCTAATTTTTTTATCATCTCAAGTGGATTACATATCAAGATATGTATTTATTTTTAGTGATAGTCAAAGATATTGTAGAGATTTCGACATAACACGTGTAAAAATTTTGAGGGGACAATCATTGGCATTAACATCTTATGGTGGAAAGAACTCTCGAAGGTTGTCCAACGTGAATCCTTGTCTCAATAAATTAGGAAAAAATTTTATTTGTATGCATCGGAGTTCCACAAAAAAAAGCAATGCAAATACAATTACTTTCGACACTAAGTTTTTTCGAGTATCTTCGAGGTAGAGATCCATTTTTTTGAAGTTGCATTTAGAGCCTGTGAAGTTTTTTTTATCCAAGGAAGTTTAGGTGTAGTAGAGATATGCTTAATTGGAGACTTAGGCATTGTACCTATAAGATAATCTAAAACATATATGTAACTCTTGTTACATTAGCTTTAACAATACAACGTACTAAATTATGAGCATAATACAATTCTTTTACTTTCTTTTGTCGAACAATTAGATAAATGACATTATAAATACAAATTAGGATATTTAGACACTACAAAAAAACACTCCATTTCTAATGATTATTTACGATTGTAAATCTATATTGGAATGACGATGATATTACGATGAAAATTTACGAAATCGTAAAATTGTCGTAAATAAATGTTGTCGTGTAATCGTCGTAAAGTCTACGACAAAATACAATGCATTTAGGACGAAGGAAGTATTGGTCGTAAAATCGTCATCAATGACGATTTTGCGATGAAATGTGTTTTGACAAAATCGTTGTAAATTTGATGCAAAATTACAAGTTTACGATAAACTGAATTTGATGTAAATTTATCTTATTATTACGTCGACATATAAAAGTAGGTGAACCACATTTTCAGTATCTTCATCTACTTGTGTACATTGAATTTGTCGTAAATATGTTGTAAATTTATTGTAAAATCGTTGTATATCTAAGAATCGTTGTAAAATGGATGTAATATTTCATTGTAAATTCGTTGGAAAGTTATAATTTTTTCTATAAATACATCTTCACTTCGAAGGAACATTCATAAAAACAACAAACAAACACAAAAGAAAAAAGAAACACACATAGGTTTTTTTTAAATGTCTATATACGAACTACAAAGCTGGATGTATATGCATACAAATTTGGAGGGGGTGTTGACGAAAGAATTCATGGACAGATTATAAATATTCATGTATCAGACAGAAAATATGGAAAGAATCATAGAAAGCGGTAAGATGCACTGTCCTTGTCGGAAATGCAAGAATACAAGGTATATTCTAATTGATATAGTGTATAAGCATTTATTAAATAGAGAGTTTAGAACATCCACATTAGTGAACCCCTCATGAAGTTCATCCATAATATTTTAGTATTAAAATTTTCAGAAATAAAAAAGTTTAGAACTCCACTTAGTTTTGCTCATCCAATGGTGAATCCCTAATGGGGGTTCTTATAAAATAAAATAATATTTTTTTAAGTCAAATTTGAAATAATAATTATTTTGATATTAATTTTATACATTTTTATATTTATAAAAACAAATTTATTTTTTATTACATGAATATTAAACATACACAATATAGATATTGAAATCAAATGATAAAACGTATCAGTTGTAATCTTGAGAAGAACTAAATTTCTGCCAAATATGCTCAACTAAATCATCTTTGAGTTGTTGAAGTGTTTTTTTTTATCACAAACTTTATTTCAAATGCCGATCATATTGCTGAGATTTGAAGGCATATCTGTAAAAAACGTCATATCAACCTGTGAAGTTCTGCTTTCTTCTCCTAGGTCGAAAATTGTTACATCGAACTGCGTGTACCCATCTTATTTTCTACTAACATATTGTGTAATATAATACATGCTCTCATAATCTTTCCTATTTTTGCCTTATCCCAAAAAAGAGCAGGGTTTTTTTTACAATTTCAAAACGAGCTTACAAGACTTCCAAAGCACGCTCAACATCTTTTCAGACACATTCTTGTGTAGTAGCAAATAATATTGCTTTAGGACCTTGTGGAAGTGGAATAGATTGGATAAACAATGTCCATTTGGGATATATATCGTCTGTGAGGTAGTATGCCAAATGATACTCATGTCCGTTCACCAAGTAATTAACTTTTGGAGCTCGACCTTGTAAAATATCATCGAAAACAGGTGAACGATCAAGAATATTGACATCATTTAAGGTACCTGGAGATCCAAAAAATGCGTGTCATATCCAAAGATCTTGTGATGCTACAGCCTCTAACACAATTGTCGGTTTTCCTGAACCACATGTGTATTACCCTTTCCATGCAGTAGGACAATTCTTCCACTCCTAATGTATACAATCGATGCTCCCTATCATCCCGGGAAATTCGTGCATCTCTCAAATATCAAATAGTCGTTGTAGATCTTCTGGGGTGGGTCTTCTTAGGTACTTTTCTCCAAATAAATTTATTATTCATTCTACGAAATTTTCCAAGAAATAAAGTGCAGTACTTTCACCAAGCCGGAGGTATTCGTTACCGCATCAGAAGCACAACCATATGCCATAATACGAATTGCTGCCGTACACTTCTGTATTGCAGAGAGACCGACCGAATCTTCCAGCAGCATCTCTTTTTTTTTTAAAGAATGAAACTTCTTGGGAGATTCGATCAACGATATGCATGAAAAACGGCTTGCTCATTCTAAAACGGTGTCTGAATATATGCGGAGGGTAGGTTGAATCTTCACTAAAATAATCGTTTCATAGATGCTGGTGGCTTATTTCACATTCTGTTTCTATATATGCTTGTTTCTTCTTTGGCTTTGTTGCTGCATGATGAGCTAAAATGGTGTCAAACATATTATCAAATGTTTGATCGAATAGTTCATCAAAACTTTCATCAAGAGATGTTGAGAAATTAGAGAAAGTATTGTTTGATGAAGATGCCATATTGTTGTGGTTTAGGGTGTAATGTTGGAAGAAGGGATGATGTAGGGAAAAGAAAAAGAGAAGAGATGTAGGTTGATATTGGAAAAAAAGAGAGGGTTTGTTTGATATATGGAAAAGAGAGATGGAGTTTGATATAGGGAAAAGAAGAAGAGAAGAGATGTTTGTACTGAGTAAAAGAGAGATGGATTTTGAGAGTTTGTTTTACCAGTTAAAGAGGAAATTGGGTAATCTCATATATATAGAACAATTGACACAACTCATTGCAAGAAGACACGTGGTTACAAAAAGTTCAAGCAAAATTTGTGGTATACAACTCTACAAGTACAATACCCGTGACATCCAAACCATAACAATACAAAGTAGAGTAAAGCCAAATTCAAACAACAACAAAACCCGTGACCCCCAAATGCTGTGTCTATTCTATCTCTCACATTCGCCTCTCTTTGTGCCTCCAAAACTGTGACCTAGACAAGTGAGACAACTTTTTGAGACTAACCAAAATAATTAAGGTTGGCATAGACATGCCTCGTATCATCCGAACCTCCTGCAAATGAACATGAAAAAACGAACTAGTAAATACAAAAGATACTTTCTAGACAAGATAATGACACAAGATACTCTCTAGACAAGATAATGACATAACGTAAGAAGGAGCAAAAATACATAAGTTACTACTCATTATCATAACATAACATAAGAACACCATTGCATAAAATACTTACTACTTATTACACATAAGATACTAGATATGGAAGGCATAATTTATAACAACATTTCAGTAATTAGTTTGTGCTTAAGAGCCATTTCTATGTCAGAAAGTGGCTCATTTTTTGCTAGTAAATTTTCAAGTAGCTTCTGCCTTGACAGCTGCTGTTTCATCTCCAAATCTTGTTTTTTGATGTCCCACAGACTCTGTAGCTCCACAAGAGCCTTTCCTGCTTCTGTACCAGAAGTTGAAGGCATTCCATTCCTCTTAGCTTTTCCAGCTTTCGCAGCCTTAACACCACCCAGACGTGCCTGTGATACCTCTTTTGTTGAGGCTTCATCTTGGTAGCTTGGTGACTGAGCTGAAGACTCCTACAACTTTTTTCGTTTAGCCTTTCCCTGATCTTTACTTGATGCCATCGCACACCATTTCTGGTCATGTCGCAGCTCTTTCCAAGCGTGTTCTAGGGTGAATTTAACTTGGTAATCATTGTAGAAAATCTCCTGTACTGCCTTCATCAGGTCGTTCTTATTTCGGCCTCTGGTTTGCTCATTCTTTGCCGCCTCAAAGCAACCCACAAACTTGCAGACTTGCTCGTTCAGCCTCCCCCATCGTTGTTTACACTGACTCGCCTCCTTAGCATCTGGGCCAATGAGTTGGAGACTATTGTTGAAATATGCTTGAATCCTCTTCCAAAAAGCCCCAAACTTTTGCTCATTTCCCACCATCGGGTCTTTGCTGGTATTCAACCAAGCACTGATTAGGACCACATCCTCCTTTGGTGTTCACTACCTCCTTTGCTTACGCTCTTCACCAGGTATGCTTGGATCATCAGAACCTTGGCTACTAAACCGAGGGAGTTCTGATGATCCAAAGTTAATTATTTGCGGATAACTATATGGGTTTTCTTGTTCTTGGCTAGTTAGGAGATTTACAAACCCCTGAGAGTTAGTAAATGGATTCGGAGAATCCATTTCAAGGTTTAGAAAGAAGGGGTTTACAGATTTATAAGGATAAGTCTTTAGAAAGTTTTTCGATTTTTTTAGAAAGTTTTTATAAGGTTTTTAGAAAGTTTCTAAGGCAATCACTATTATATAAGCGTTTGTTGTTTAATGGTATTTTTGCAATTAATGAAAAACATTGATCACAAGTGCTTTAACTCCCTAACCTACCAAGAATTGATAACAAAGACCTTAACTCTTCACCTAACAAACAGCTACGAAGCATTTATGCTAACCCAATCTAAAAACAAATCTAACTACTATCATCACCTTAACTATGTAAGCTAACTAAGAGTTAGAAAGCTGACTAACCTTGCTTCATTGCTGAAATGAAATCTGGTTGCATAAACCATCGTTGGTTGTCTCTCCATTTTACCTCAGAAAACAGATAAATGTATTTAAGTACATCAATCAACATAAACCATTCATCGGTAATATAAACAAAGATAAATTAAGTAGGTGTTACTTTGCGTGAAATGACTGATTAAGCAGCTTTCACCTCCTCAATCTTCAACAAGTAGCTGTCCTTGTTTCTCCATTTTCTCTCACGAAAATTAGGTGACTACCGAATTCATAATGGACACTAAGCAAATTATGGACACTAAAAAAATTATAGAAAACAATAACCAAAGCCGGTTGCCTCATGAAGAAAACAAAACATAGAGGTTTTGTCTTAGCATATTTGTCTTACTACATAAATTCATCAGGAACATAACAAGAACATAGACATTTCTGAAACTCATTTCTTCTACTTAAAACAGATAAGAAATGGCTGCAAAAAACAAAAAAGAAAAAACAGCACCAAATACCCCTCACCTTGGTTTGAACTCTGCTCCTTCAGCCTCGAAACCTCTCCTTGAAGAAGTTGTACCTCTTCCTTGATTTCTCTAATAGTGGGGATCATACGATTGAAGTCTCTCGAGCCTAAGCAGCTTCTCCCTTTGATCTGCAACCTGTCTCTGGACGAATCCAATTCGCTCAGTAACACCCTCATGTCACCACTTGAAGATATGCTCTTCCCTCTCCTACAATACAAACTAAAAAAAATACCTACAATCATCAAAACTATAGCTTGAATCCTCTTACCTCTCTAATCCAGTCAGGACAAGTATAGTACTTGCGGCCATGACTACCTCTCGCTTCACCAGTCCACGATTCCAGCTTCATGACCCGACCACAAAACATTTCTCAGGAATTCTCCAATCTGCATCTGCATATGCCTACCCCAAATCCTCTTCTGGTCCTTCAGATGAACGTCTCTCTGTAGCTAATCGGCATTATCTGCACATAACACAACTCCTTCAATCCCATAAAACTCATACCTCATTGCCAGTACAAATCGAAACTACAATGGCACATCATACAAACGCATGAGAGGATCAGTAGAATTAAACAAACCTCACAAACAAACAAACTCATAACTAATTTACACATCAAACAATCCAAACTACAATCGCACATCAAACAATCGGACATCAAAAAATCAAAACAACAATCGCAGAAGAACAAACGAACTCATAACTCATTCACAGAGCAAACAAACGGATGAAGCGATTCAAACCAAATTACAATCGCGAACACTCTTTCAAATCCAGAAAACTTGATAACAGATTGGTTAAATCCCTAAATCCGATTTATCTTGTGTTTGGGATGAAGTTATAGAGCAAAGAGTAAACCATTTAAGCGTATTAGATACGAAATCACACTTAGACTGTCGCGAATAACCATAATTTCAATCACACAAAATGTTCCAATTTTTTCCCAAATCACCTAAACCCTAATTTCGCTAAACCATACACAAAAATTAACTAAAAACACCAACGATTGGATAATCACTTACCTTGACGAAGCGGATGGAGATAGCGGTCTCGATTTTGCCTTCAATGTCTCCAATTTCTCAGGTGTAATCTCGCCGGAAGAGATGAAAGTCATGCGTGGAAGCGTCCAAGAAGAGAATGAAATGTTACGTGTGAAGTCTTTCAGGGGAAGAGAGAGAAAGTCGCAGGAAAAAAAATCTTCGAGCGAATAGAAACCGGACACGTTGATGATGAACCCCATTAAAAATCGGTTCTAAAAATCCTTGCATAAGGGGGGGGGGGTTTCTAGTTTTATATGGGCTTTTCTATTTTTTTTAAATCCAATTAATTTAAGAACGCAGCCTATGAACCCATTTAGATACGCAATTGGAGGTGCTCTTATGCTGCAATATTTTTTTGGGTATCAACATAGAGAATGATATGATAGTAATGCTGGTGTGAATGCTGGTAGTAGTAGTAACTATCAAAGTCATGTAGATTTTTATGGATCAAATTACTATCAACCTAATCAGTATCACTTTGATCAACTTCCAGATCATGATAGGATGTATGTGATGGTTATAGATGCATTTCATTAAACGCACACTGATAATACTGTTGAGGAATCCAATGTAGATGCTAAATGATTTTATGATTTGTTAGATGCTGGTAATCAGCCATTCTATGAAAGATGTAGAGAAAACCAGTCTAAATTATTGTTAGCAGGAAGGACGATGTCAATTAAAACTAATCATGGTTTGCATGAATGATTGAGCTGATCTTATGAAAGAGTATATCCCAGAGGATAATTTGGCAGCTGAAACATATTATGAATTACAGAAGTTGATTTTTAGTCCTGGTCTGCCTTATGAGATGATAGATGTATGTGTTGATAATTGTATGATTTTCTGAAATGATGATGATAAGCTGAAAATATGTCGATTTTGCCAAAAAATGAGATACAGGCCGCAAAATTCTAGTCGTAAAAGAATATCCTACCAACAGATGTGATATCTTCCTATAATTGATAGGTTGAATCGAATCTATCAATCTGAAAGGACGACTGCATTGATGAGGTGTCATGCAGAGCATATAAAAGTAGATGGAGAAGTTACTCATCCGTCAGATGCAAAAGCGTGGAAATACTTTAATACGGCACACCCAGACTTTGCTAATTCCAAACAAAATGATTATATTGGTCTTTGTACTGACGGATTTAGTCCATTCGGAATGTCTAGTAGGCAATATTCTTTATGGCCAGTAATCTTGATGCCGTATAACATTCCCCCAGATATGTGCATACAAAAAAAAATTATTTTCCTGATTATTTAAATCTCAGGTCTCAATTATCTGAAGCGCTCTCTCAATATAATTTTGCAGCCACTCATACATAGTGAATCATTTGTGGTATACTGGTGTTCGAACATATGACTGTTCGAAGGGAAAAAATTTTACAATGCGGGCGATGCTTAAGTGGACAAGAAGTGATTTTCTCGCATACGATATGCTATCAGAATGGACTACACACGAAATGTTATCTTATCCTTATTGTCTTGATCAAATTGATGCATTTCATTTAAACATAGTAGAAAAACATGCTGGTTTGATTGTCATCACAAGTTTTTACTGGAAAACCATCCATACTAGAGGAACAAGAGATTATTTAGGAAGAAAAAAGTGTTCGTGTCCCTCCATCAATATATCTAACAAAAGAAGATTTTGAAGCGCAAATCAATCATTGAAAGACACAGAAAATTTACAACGAATTGGTTGCCAAATTGTCCCTATTCGTGATTTATAACAAAGTTGCAACAATTTCGAGGCTTAGTAAACTCATTGTTTTCCTGTAATGAGAAAGGATAAAAGAGTTTAAATTCAATTTTGGAGTTCCAGATTTAAGCAGCTAAGTTTTTGATGCTCGTTATCAATATTCACAATGATGTTCTACTTTCTTAAAAACTCAGAATACAAACCAGTACATATTATCTATTTAATTAAAAAACTATTTTTTATATATATTATAATTCAAAATTTTAATATCAAAAGCAAAATATTTTAGTCTGATATTAGACCGGTTAAAATAGAACGTATTAATCCAATTTAGTATATTCAAATATGCTATTTCATTCATATAAAAATACTATTAAAATTAATTATGAAACCAATAATTATCTAGCATTTATGTAATTGTATTACAAAATAAATATAATTGTAACTATCATTTGCAATTTCATAATCAGCGCATAGATTTGCAACTATAAATATTAGCTACCATTTTTATAGTTATATTTATATATATTATATTTATATATTCGAATAAAAGAATTATGATTAATATTTATCCTGTACAAGATGCAAATAATCACCTAGTTTCTGTAGATAATATAAACACCTAGTTTCTGTAGATAGTATAAACACCATAGCATAGAGAAGAAAATTAAAGTATAATCGTCCGAATACACATCTTATCTACACATACATTCTTATCTACTAAATTAATAAAACGATAAAAATAAGGAAAACACCCTAATGGAATATTAGAATCTGCGTTTGAAAAGAACAGTAAGACTTTATATTGCTAAATAAAACTTGAGAAGCCAATGAAGATGCCACTCGTGATGCTAACGATCTTCTCCATTTAGCTTTACAAAAAGATGTATCCCTTTCTAACAACTTTGTTCTTCAATGGGTTTATGCGTTAGCCAACAATTGCGAAGGAATCTACAATGGTCCATAAATATACAATTTAATTCATATACATAGAATTTTTTTTCGGATAAAACTGAATTTTGGACATTGGGTGCATTAAGTGCATTCAATCTTTTGGCCTTTGAAGATGCTGAGAAAATATCCATATACCAATATAAAGACTTCTAAGCTCAACACTTTAATACCTTCATTTTTTGTTTCCAAGAATAATGTTGTTTTACAACTTTATGATACTAGTTTTTTTAACAGATCGCACACATAGAAAAGGTTGAAACTTTATACATTTTGCAGTTCATTTTTAATATTCATTTGATGCAGTGATATGGATTCTTTGTTTTAGATAAATTAGCTATCATAGTTTTAATCCTAGTATCCTACAATCCTGCGATATGTCTTATCATAAAACATCGCTAAATTTAGAGAAAACGGTAAATAAATAACAAGAAACATGAAGCTCTCTGAAGACTCTTAATTCATCAATCAAATCTGAAGAAAACTATTAACAAAAAAAAAAGAAAGAATATAACTCAAAGATCTACTTGCACTCTACACTATTATTTGCAAGGTCAAAAATCTGATGTGTCATCACTACAGCGATTGTCTTATATGTCATTATGAAAAAATATTATATGTTGTTTTAATTAATTTTAATAGGTCGATCATTAATCTTACGTGTAAATACCCGCAACATAGCTTATTTTTTTGATTATGGGCCAACGATTTAGTTAATGGGCCACCAATCTCAGATTCCCGTCTTAGCCACCGATTTATGGGCCACTGATGTAGAAGTTGGTACTAACCTAAACCCTAACATATCCATCGTGATATATATACTCCTATCGGTTTTTATGTTTTCTTGCATATAACGTCTTGCTTTTGAGGTTTTGAGTTTTTTTTATTAAAAAAATTTGTACACCTCGTTTTTAAACAAATCGATCATATCATTTTTTTTAAATCGTCCACCTTTTTAAAAAAAAAAAAGAAAATCGATCATAGCATTTTTTTTAAATCGTCCATATCTTAAAAAAAACGATAAAGAATAGAAAGAAGAGTAAAACAAATAGAATAGGAAGAAGACGAAGACGAATCTGAAAAGAGAATTGAAATAGAATTTAAAGATGATGATGAAGAAGAAAAGAAAGAAAAGATGAAGAATAAAAAAATTAAAGTCGATGATAAAGAAGGAGGAAAAGATGAAAAAGAAGACCGAAAAAGAAATATAAAAATCCTAATAAGAAAATTATGACAAGACGAAAATGTTGAAGAATAAGAAGAGGAAGAGGATGATAAATTAGGAGAGGGAGGAAAATAGAGAAATTAAGTTAATGCTTTCAGTGACATGTAGATGCTTTCAGTGACATGTAAATGCTTTCAGTGACATGTAGATTCTTTCAAAGACATGTATATGGAGAAAAAAAATAGAGAGAGATAAAAACAGGAGGAGAGAGAGTTAACCTTCCAAATATTTGTCTAAATTATATGATATATGATTTCTGTGTTCCTGTTTTTTATATCCAAAACACTTCTTACTTTAAATGTATTTTTCTAAATCATATAATATATACAACTTAGGATGATGGAGGAAGTAAAAAGAGTGAGAGAGAAATACCGAAAGAGAGAGAGGGAGAGAGAGAGAATGATAGAGAAGGAATGATAACACCTGATTTTGACTATTTTTATGGATCACTTTCAGTACCTTATGCAGGTGTTTTCAATCAGTTTTAAAGGTTTTACAAATGTTTTCCATGTTTTGGAGTTTTAAAAGACTTTTCAGGTTACTTAGGCAAAAACAATGCAAATTGGAGAAAAATCTACTTTTGGCCAATTTCGGACCGTCAGAAGTTTCACATTCGATAAAGACCTTCTCACCGTCTGATCAAGCTCAAATTTGGAGAAAAGATACAGGACACAACCAGATTTCCAATACAAGTGGAATCAAAGCAATCTAACGGTTGGATCATAAGTTGTTTCCAATTTACGGAAAATATGTTCTGCAGTCTCGCGAATGAAGCAAGAGGAAGAATGAAGTTTGGGCATCATCACGGTCCAGGAGCTCGTGACCGCGGTGAATAACATCCTGGCCATGCATCAGAGCCTCCACCCACGGTGGACCAGCATTTACCAGACTTGGAGAAGCCCAATTATGCGACAAGCCCATAAACGCCCAGTAGCCTGTTTTCAAACCCAACTTATTCTCTCTTCACAAGAAGCTTTAAGGACGACCAGAAACACTTGGAGACCTATAAATATGTATTTTAGAAGACCTAATTTCGTGTGTGCTCCTTTCCCCTTGATAGGGAGGCACCCAACTTTTGTTTCTTAGGTTTAGATTAGAGAGATAGAGATCTTGAACCTTTGCTGTTTCTTTTCATATATCTATTCAGTTTATGCAATCTCTTTTACTTTACTGCTTTTCTATCTCAAAACCAATGATGATGTTGTCAAGCTCAGCCATGTCTGAGTAGTCACCTTGCTGGGTGAAAAAAGGGCCATCGAAAGGGACCCCATGATCGATGACATCTAGGTTTTTTAGGTTAAAGGATTTTAATTTTAAATGATTCTCCCAATCATCCAAATCTCAATGCGGTAACGCTGGAGTAGCTAACCAGTGTCCGATCTTAGGTTAAATTCGAGCCACGAGAGTGTTGTATATGGGTTGCCTGAACTAGATCTTATGGACGTCACCGTCGTAAGAGACGAAAGCTACCTACGGAGGATACGTAAGCCGAGATTGATTCCAAGCTAAAATGCATGATCTTAATTCGGCATGAGAGCGAGAGTTAATTGCCGAGATTAAGTGATTAGATGATTAAGGTGACGAGAGTTGGCTAATCTTACAAGTGTCAATCCTAGTTTCAGAATTATAGAAAATCTTTACCTAGATTCCTTGTGTCATAGATCATGAACCCTAGAGATGAACCCTAATGCCCAACATGTTTTTCATCTTTGTTTTGATCTATTTTTATTTCTTGTTTAGCTTAGTAGAAATCGTGACACCAAAACCCCATAAAAAACCCCCATTGGTCTTTGAATTCGATTATTAATCCAGTTTGAAGTTTCTGCACAAAAGATAACTCTCCCTGTGGATCGACACCCTAAGTACTACAACGCACGGCTGTGCACTTGCAGACATAGGGTTTATAAATTTAAAACTCTTTTGCGACATCAACCCTAGCTCGCATCAAGGAAGCATAAAGAGGCAAAGAGAGAATTAAAGTTTTCAGGTACATGTATTTGATTGATATAAAAGACTAAGAAAAAATAAAAAGAATATGAAGTCAGAGAGAACAAAGAAGACGAAAGTGATGAAGAAGAAGATGAAGTACAAGAGGAAGAATATGAGGAAAAGATGTGGAAAATACGAAGAAGAAGAAGACATGACAAAAAAACTTAAAGAATAAAAAGTAAGAAAAGACATATAGAATGAAGCCGATAATGAAGAAGAAATAAAAGAAAATAAAAGAAAACTAAGAAAAAAACGTGACAGAAGAAAGAGAAATAAAAGTGGAAGACGATAAAGAAAGATAAAAAAAAGATTGATAAAGAAGAAAACCAAAAGATAAATAAGAGGAAAAAGATGAAAAACAATTATATAGAAACGAAGAACTCGCTTTTGTCTAAATTCAATTGATTTGTGAATTTCATACACTTATTTAGTAAGCATTTAGATCCTTAATTTTGGATAGTGTTTACTTTTTGGGTTTACATTATTTTATCATATATATTTTAAATAGTTGTTTTAATTCTCTTCAATCAGTTTATAACATGATCGTTTTGTTATACATTTTTGAAACTTTTATGTCCGCGCAAGGCGTGGACATAAACACCTAGTTGCATTTATAATACAATTCAATTCTTCAAAGCCATATCATTTAAATACAAATTTATATTAGCAAAATTTGAAATCATATCGTAAAACATTATATTAGTTTCCATTCATATAGACTATATAGTAACGAGTTAGGTTTGTTTTAGAATAAGGTGTAACAATTTGACGATATGGTTTGGGAATTGGGCAGAAACTTGTGGGCCTTTAAGCCCAAGAAAAACTTGTCAAGTTACCCGAAAATTTGGCGGGTCAAATCGAAAAAACAACACAGCGTGGATCGAGATGTCTCTCGTATGAACATTCATCCTTACCCGACTAAATTTAATCAAAATCCGACGTATAAAGAAATGAATTAAAATCCTCGATTTGCTCGAACAAAATTTTATTCCTTTACCATCATTTGTAGTTTTCCCAGATCCTTTTTCCCTCTGTTTTTTTTTTTTTTCCTTCTTCTTGCTTCACATTGTTAATTTATTCTTCAGTGTTTGTCGCATTGATCCCTCTCCCAGAAGCTGAAGCTCTAACAAATCTGGGTTTTTATTTCGTTTTTCGTAAATCGTGAGATATTGATCTGATAAGACTTACAGGTTTTGTTCTGCTCTGCGATTCGATTGTATTGCATTTCGATGTTATATAGCTCTGAACAAATGATGGGTCTCGTTCAAGTTTCAATTTTATTTTAAAATTTGTTTGCTTCCTGGGTTTTGCACCCATTTGGTGTTTTGGTATGATTTTGTTCATCGCAATTCATTAGCTTAGATTAAGATTTAAACCCTGAAAATTCGTTGTTGTTTTAGTACTTTTTTTTGGTTAAAAGCTGAAATTGTATGAAGATGATGATCTAGTGATTACTTTGTTTTGCCTAATCTGTTTACATTTCATATAAGACGATTACACTTATTCGAATAAACTTTTTCTGCAGGTGATTGTTGCTGTGTAATTCGACATTGAGTTAAGGATCTTAGTTGTTTCGACATGAAATTCGAAAGAGCTGATTGATTAATCCTTCTGGTTCAGGATATAATTGTCCTGAAAAACGCAAACACTCAAAAATTTTAGAAAGTGATGTGATTTTCTTATTCACGTCTTTGTTCACATATGTTAAGCCGTCTCGGATGGTTATTTGGACTGAGCAAAAGAAGTAGGCAAGCAAAGACGCTTGATGCGAGACCTTATATAGCCAGAGTTAAACCAGTACTTATGGTTGACACGGTTCAAGAGATTGCCATTTATATCCACAGGTTTCATAACCTTGATCTTTTCCAGCAAGGGTAAGGAGCTTGTAGTTTTTCTCTCTGATTTAAGTTTTGAGACTTGAACGAGTTATTGATCGTTTTCTCAAATTTCTCAGATGGTATCAAATAAAGATCACCATGAGATGGGAGGATGGTGATAATGTAACGCGTGGTATTCCTTCTCGAGTTGTTCAGTATGAAGGTACTATATTGCTTTCTTATGAACAAGTTCCTTTGCCTTTGTTAATTTCTTTCTTTTTTGTATCTGTGTTATTGAGTACGAATGTCTAAAATCTAGTTCCTTGAAGATCGGATATAGTTAATATTCTAATTATGCGTGCTGAGAGAGTATATTTTCAGTATAACTAGACAGAGGGAACTGTTTTTTGTTACAGCTTCTGAGTCCGGCTCTAATGGAGTGTGGAGGATAGATGATAAAGATAATAGTTTCTTAACACAGCCCTTCCGCATCAAGTATGCAAGGCAGGATATTCGTCTGTGTATGATGATCTCATTTACTTTGCCACTCCAAAGATATGAGGTAGCAATCTCTACTTCACAAATTCGAAACTGATGTTTTGTTTCTTGACGTAAAAAAGAGAGAATTGAATGAATTAATCCTAGAAATGAACCAAATGATAACCATCTTGCGTGGATATTGCATTTATGAAGTTTTGAAATGATTCTTGGTACGCAGGGGTTAGCTACATCTGCTGCTATATTAAAATTTGAGCTCATGTATGCCCCCTCTATGGATAGTTCATCAACGAGGCATTTAGAGGCTTTGCCTGCTGCAATTCACGAGTTCCGTATTCCACCTAAAGCTCTTACAGGCTTGCATTCATACTGTCCAGTGCATTTTGATACACTTCATGCGGTTCTTGTCGATGTGAGTGTCCACATCAGTGTATTGAAATCTGCTGCTTATAGACGACCTGCAAGTCTATCAAGGTTTGTCAAAAAATGTTTAGATTTGACATAATTGCTGCTAAAGTTTATATTTAGATTTTGTTGATATCTCAAGGTGTTTTGATGCAGTGATTTAAGTAACAGTAAGAATGTCAATGGCGGGAGTGTTCAATCTTTCAAGAAAGTACGCGCCTATGATTCAGTAGTTTAATCTTTTGCTTTTGTCTAGATTTTGAAAATGTCTTATTGATTGGTCGTTAACTTTTTAATTCACTAGGCACTTGGTCTGCTTGCTTCTGCAGACAAGAAAATGGTGTCATTTGTTAAAGCATTACTTGGAGCTCGCGATATTTTACTCCAGGAAATGCAAAGACTTAGCGAGGCAGTTGGTCAATCAATTGACTTGTCTGACTTTGTATCAAATATGAACAATGTTCCGTTATCCAACTCAGCAGTTGCCGGTTCAGGACAAGGCAAGGAACAAAACAGTCTTGAGGTCCTTGCTTTATTTTGAGTCTGACTTGTATTTATCGACTATTTCGTTTCATCTTCTTCTCTTATTTCTCCATTTTGTTTTTGGCACAGAAGTTGAATATCACATTTGATTTAGCAAGTGATGACTGGCTTCATGAACTCTCCAAGGATCATCTATCTCGTCTATTCCATTTGCTGGGCACTCAGCTGCATTATCTTTGGAATACGTTTCTGGGATTTCACCGGTAATTCCAATGATCTTAGATCGTTTTATAATCTATCTCCTAAAGACAATCTGAAAGGACCAATAGGCATTTATCTCATGTGTCCTTTATAGTGATAATAACACAAAAATACTGGAATATCTTCGTGATATCTGGACTAAAGATCGGAGAGCTGAATGGTCAATATGGATGGTGTACTCTAAAGTTGAAATGCCCCATCATTTTATAAATAGTGGAATGAGTGATATCATAAACTACAGTGCACACAAAAAGGTCTCAAGTGTGTTGAAGTTGACTGATGTGAGTTTAGTGTTCTGTTTTTGTTTACCAAATCTTTTTTTGAAAACTCAAGCTTGGCTCATCCAAGTTTTGCTCTGATGCAGCCTGCCCAACTTGCAGCTAACCGCGCCGAACTTCACCGTCGAAGTATCGCGCAGATGCGGGTTTGTTCTGTTCTCTGTTCGATTTAGTTCCCTCTTTGCTTCATAAGCTGTTAATTTTATTGTACCAATGTAATTGCTGGTGCAGATTAACAACCGTTCAATACAAGACATGCATATACTTGGAGATCCTATGCGGGTACCTATTATTATAATTGAACGTGTCTTGAATGCACCAAGACGCACTTTAAGTGATAATTCATACTTGAGGCATGTGGATATGCTCGATTCTAGCTTGCTTAATGAGCAAAATGATGAAACGGAAAAAACAAAAGCTACCAACTCCCAGCAAAGTGCCCGTGAACTAAAGATCGTTGTTTTTGTTCATGGTTTCCAGGCAAGTATCTTATAAAAACTTTGAAATGCAAACCATATTGACTATCACGGATAACTTCAGCATGGAAAATAAGCTAGCTTGTGTTCTTTTTCCATCTGTTGTTCACTCATTCGATAGAACTTTGCTCGTATCTGCTACCATAGGGGCATCACTTGGACTTAAGGCTTGTCCGGAATCAGTGGCTTATGATAGATCCGAAGATAGAGTTTCTCATGTCCGAGGCAAATGAAGACAAAACTCATGGTGATTTCAGGGAAATGGGACAAAGGCTCGCACAAGAAGTTGTTTCTTTTCTCAAGAGGAAAAAGGATAGATATGCGAGACACGGGCATTTGAAAAGCATCAAGTTGAGTTTTGTTGGACATTCCATTGGTAACGTCATCATCAGAACAGCAATTGCAGGTAAATATTCGTAGCAATCTTGTAAATTTTGAATGACTTCTGTGTGTTTATGCCATCTGTTTGCTGTTTCAGATAGTTTAATGGAACCATACAGGAAGTTTCTACACACATATCTATCTCTCTCGGGTCCTCACTTGGGTTATCTGTACAGCACAAACTCCTTGTTTAATTCCGGGCTTTGGCTCCTGAAGAAGTTAAAGAGTACACAGGTTATTCATCAGCTTACACTCACAGATGATCCTGATCTCCGGCATACTTTCTTTTACAAACTCTGCAAGGTAGATAAAAAAAAAATCTCAACTTGTATCATTAGATTCACCATCCTTTTTGCATTTTGTTGTCCGCTTCTAATATCCGGTTTAAATCCTTTTCAGCAAAAGACATTGGAAAATTTCAAAAATATAATTCTGCTGTCCTCGCCTCAGGTACGCTTCCTCGTTCAAAGTTGTTTGTGTGAAGCAATATGAGCCTTGTGAAAGCTAATGAAACATCTCTTATCGGATTAAAGCTATATAAGCCATGTGGCTGTTATATAAATGCAGGATGGTTATGTTCCATATCACTCAGCAAGAATCGAATCATGCCAACCAGCTTCTTTCGATAGCACAAAAAGGGGAATCGCATTCTTGGAAATGCTGAATAACTGTATGGACCAAATACGTGGACCGGCTCCAGAAGCGCCGCATCAGCAGAGAGTGTTCATGCGCTGCGACGTCAACTTCGACACGACCGTTTATGGACGTAACCTGAACTCATTCATCGGGCGTGCTGCTCACATTGAGTTCTTGGAATCTGATATCTTTGCAAGATTCATAATGTGGTCATTCCAAGATTTGTTCCGCTGAATTTTTTCCATAAAAGTGAATATGGAATTTTGTAGCAAGATGGTGAAATTTTGGGATTGCGTGGAAGATATAAACTGTTGTATATTAGCTTTTATTAGATTAGTTTGGTTCTACAATTGTTTAATGTAACTAGAAATATAATCTTTGTTTTAGATTTTAGTAAAAATGTTTCTTTCTATGTTATACGGCCTAGACATTTTTTTACCCAAACCCAAAAGGAAAAATGGACGGAATTTGTAATATACCCAACTCTTTAATTTTAGGGCCGCGAGGGGGTTTTATCTTTTAGACAACCTCCATCAATTAGATCTAAAAAAAAAGGTTCTCAAAACTAAAATATTATTATTTTAATATAATTTAACTATTTGATTTAATTTTTGTTATTGTTAAACAAACAAACCAATAAAAAATGGACAGGTGTTACTAAAAGTTTTTCCTGTAATTTCTCTATTTAATTTATTAATTAAAAACTCCTCCTAAACCCTTTGTTGGAGATGTTTTATTGAGACTTGAAAGAACGTTCCAAAGAAATGCTATCCATCTCTTGACGAAAGTCGTTAAAATCACAGTCAAATTGATTAATAAAAATCTTATAAGTTTTAACTACAAACCCAAAAAGATATGGACTTCTAATGGTATATTACAATATATCTTTATTGTGCAACAAGATTAATATAAAAATTTCTATGTTTTAACTTTTTATGAAAAAAGAAGAACATAGTATTATGTGAAAATTACTCATTCAAAAGATGTAGACAGTATATTGTTGTTACGTACACGCACGAGGGGATAAAAAGATAAATGTGTCTAGGAAAGCTCGGAGATTCTTGTTAAGGAATATGAGCTCGATAATAGGGAACTTGTAGAGGTAGATTGTTCGATGTAGATTATTCGAGGTAAAAGTCGAGCTGATAGATTATAACTTAGGAGTTCTTAGCATTTACGGCAGAATTATGGATCCCATAATAAATAAAGTTACAGGACTTTTTATACTACTGATTACATTCCGGTCAGGATAGGTCAAGCGGTCGGACAGCTAGACCTGACCAATTGTCCTTTTAAACATCACGGTGGCGAGCTGCTTGATTGCTCGTCCTGCTTATTATCACGGTGGCAAGCTGCTTCCATTGTTTGTGGAGCATTGAAGTAAAACAGCCTTATCTTACTCGCCTAATGGGCCTTTGACGACCCTCAACCTTGTTGGGCCTTAAAAAATGGATACTGGGTCGAGTCGGTTATGAATAAATGGGGCTGTGCTCAGCCCACTTCCAACAATTGTCCCCCTCAAGGCATCTCCAATGGAGTATCATATGAGTTTCACAAGTGGGATCTACAATTTTTTTGGGGTTTAAAAATATAAAACTAAGCTCAATTCTGTTGATACGGTATGACTGCAGTCATCTTGGTGATGCGGTATCACTTGAGTATCATCGCCAGGTGGCGAAATCTGATTGGGTTTATGGGAAGAGAAATTTTGTTGTTTTTTATTGTTTTTTCCCAAAATTTCAATAATTTGTATTTGTATTTGTTGTTTTTTTCCCAAAATTTCAATAATTTGTATTTTTAAATAATATATTATGTTAAATTTGGTTTTATGTAATTTTTTTTTCTATTATTTCAGAATTAAATCGATTTTAAAAAAAAAAAATATAATCGATTTTTTTTTCTATTATTTCAGAAACGCCTTATGATTAAACGTCTACTTCCTGTATATGTATTTTATATGTTTTTAAAACATAATTTGAATAATTTGTAATTTAAATTCTAAACCTATGTAATATAACTTGTTTTACAATGTAAATTTGTTTTTAAAATATTTTCATAATTAAATCGAAAAAAAAAATTAATTCGAAAAAGGAAAGATATTATTTTAATCGTATGAACCCCGAATACCGGGTTCAGGGATGGAAGTCACTTTTTGATTCAAGTTCTTCACTGTTCCAAAAAAAAAGAAATATTAAATCAATTGCTATGATACCCACATTGGAGATCAGCAATGGAGATGGCCTCGGTCCGTTGATGGAGATGTTACATCAATGTTCGATGTCTTTGATAACTTCTCGTTGTGAGTCTTGACTTGACCTTGATTGATGTATGATGTGAGGTGCGAGATAGCAGGGAGATGCGTGAGGCTGGCAATGGCGAAGTCGAAGAGTGGCACATGATTACTGGGCTAGAAGGTGAAAGGGCGCGTGTTGTCGTTCGGCTCATTCAATGGCGCGTGGAATCCGGGCCTCATTAAGTTCGATGGGATGCGTCCGCGTCCGCGTGATGATTATTCTTCTCAGTAACCGTTACTATTTTCCTATATAACTCACAAACTTCCAATTCTCCTCCTTCTCTTATGTTGCTTATAAAAGGTCATTTTTCTCTCTCTTCTCTCTAAATATTTTTTGCTTGCTTAGTTTCTCTCTCCATAATTCATCCTCTCTGCTGCTTTTGTCTCTGCTTTCACGGTTTGATTTCTCCGGTCGTCGAGTTTTCTGACTACATTCATAGACATCGCGTCATGGCTTTGAAAGAGGAAATAATTCAGTATAGTCTAGAGTCTGGATCACAGTCAAAAGAGGTCATCACGGGGAGCGGTGATTCATCGCCTGAAGTTTCATCGAGGTCTGAGGGTCGATCAGATCGGGACACATCGCCACTAATCGAGCTGGCTGATATGGTTCGTCATGATGGCGTGTCCACGCGGGGTGAGGGTTTGAGTTCTCAAGTAGCCGACCTCGAAAAAGATACGTGTAAGGACGATTCAGAGGCACAAGTTGAGAGCGACGATGAAGTTGAGGCTAGCGAGGAAGAGGGAAAAGGCGCATCAGGAAAACCTCGCAGAAAAAGGCTCCAAACAAAAGCGGGAAATCAAAATCGTCTGGAGAAGATTCCCTCAAGGATGACGGTCGAGCGATTGGATCAGATGCGAGCTCTCTTCCGCTTTTCTCCCAGCGTCATTCTCAGATCGCCAAGCCCTGAAGACCGACCATGGCGAGCTCCATAGAGATGGGTCACACTTTACGAGGCCTGGTTCAGCCTTTACCATATTTGGGTGCCTCTGCCAAAGCTACTGACAGATTACGTCGACAGGCGAGGTATCACGTTGTCCCAGCTACTTCCAGCTGAGATCAGATTCATGGTCGCCGCTCTCCTATTCAGGGTTAAATACGGCGTCAACGTCGATTGGCGTTTCTTCGAGGAGATATCAAACGTGCAGGTGAACAACTCAATTCCTGGCACCTACACGATAAAAGCCAAGAATGGATGCTCACTGGTCCATCCTGTTAATAAGACGTCTGACTGGGAGGTGATAACACCTGATTTTGACCCATTTTCACCGTTGATTTCAAATGCTTTTTCAAAGCTTTTAATCAGATTTAGGAACTTTTATTATGATTTCCATGTATTTGTAGTTTCAAGGCTCTTTTCAGGAAACTTAGTAAAAATGATGGCAAAATGGAAGAAATCCACTTTTTCAGCTTAGAGTTAGACCGTCGAAAGTTTGATAACAAATGGAGGCCTTCTCACCGTCCGATCCACCTCAAATTTAGAGACAATCAAGAGGAGACAACCAGCTTTCCATAGCATTTTACATCTTAATGATCCAACGGTGCAATCAAAAGATACATGGAAAACAAGTTAACCCAGTTCACTAGTCCCGGAAGACTCTCACCCGCGGGAAACACATGTTTTACCTGCCCTAGAAGACTCTCACCTCCGGTGGACCTTAAGACGAGCCACAAGGCCCAACATCAAAGCCCACTTCGCCATTTCTCTTCAGAGAAGTCCTAAATGAGACCTGGAAGACCTTAGGCCTATAAATACATTGTTTAGCAGCCCTAAACGGGTGTGTGCTCCTGTAATGAGATTTTGAACCACCAAACTCTGTTTTTCTAGGGTTAGGCGATGGAGATGGGGATTCTTCCCCAGATCCATTGTTCTTTCTCCTTTTTATCTTATTAACTTTTCTGTTTCATTCTTTTGCATTCTTCTGTCTTTCATCATTCATTGTATAATGTAGATTAGTCCTAGAGAGTCAAGTTGTTTGAAGATATCGACAAGCATATATATCGATTATGATTTCTATTGTTCTAGACCATATTCTGGATCTCATCTCTTCTAAGTTGTTCATAAAGCATGAGAGTAGATTCATGACCTATTCTCTGAGCCTAGGATCGATCAGAGCCACAAGAGTGTTGTATCAGATCATCCGTACCTAGCTTCAGAAAAACATAGTCGCTATAGGAGTCAAAAGCTACCTATAGAGAAGATGTGAGCAGATGAATTCAATGTCTAATGCATGATCTTAAGTTTAGCATGAGAGCGAGAATTAATTGCTAGATCTAAGAGATTAGTTGATTAAGGTGACGAGAGTTGGTTAATCATACATTGTCTATTCTAGTTCCATGCAGATTCCCATAAACAGATGAAGATAAATCGTCCGGAAGCTAATTGAAAATGCCATCATACATCGATTAGAGTAAACCAGAGAAGTCTAAATCGCCACCTTTAGTTTGAGTCGATATGCTTTAGATGTTCTTTTAACAATTTATCCTGCATTGCATTTCTTGTGAATATAAGATTAGGTTTAGTTTAGGATCTTAACCAAAAACCCCAAAAATTTTATTGGTTTATGACTTTGCTTACTTCCCCAGTTTGTTGTTTCTCGCAGATTAGACATCCTCCCTGTGGATCGACACCCTAAGTCCTACAACGTACATCTGTGCACTTGCAGACACTAGGGTTTTATAAATATAAAGCTTTTGGAGGACCAACGGGCTTGTTAAAAAAAACCCTAGGCCCGCAAGCCCATCACAAACCACCATTCACCGCGGTCGCGACACTTCCACCCGCGGCCAATGCTCTTTTTACCAGTTCTCCAACAGTTCAAGCCATGGCGACACCTCTCCAACCAAACTGTCCTCACCTTGGATGCTTAACCATCTCTACCACTTCAGATCATAAAGAATCATCTGTCCTTGTATCTTGCAACATGGTTCAATGTCATGAAGTGAGAAAGACCTTATTCACCTCATCATACAAGCATCTAAGACGTTCTCCTATCACAAGTGGTGTTGAAGACTCATACCTCAAAGAAGTTCCAAGACTGATTTTTGATCCTGGAGGAGGTTATCATCTCGAACCTAATGACGAAATTTCCAATTGGGAATGGCGTTATAAGGGATATACAAAGGAAAGACAAAGATAAG